AATTAATAATTTATTTATATTTGTTATTTTTAAGTAATTATTTTATTTTATTTATTATTATTATGTATATTTTAATTTGATCAGAGAGATACTGGGTGGGAGTAGTGAGAAAGTAAGTGTCCAGGTCTGAGACTCAAACTGTACTCAGCCATTTGGGAATGTCCAGCGCCTTAACCACCACGCCACCTGCTGGCCCCAATATATTTATTATTCTTATGAGTATGAGAAACAAAATCTTATTCCTGAACAATGACATCAAAAGCAGCATTCTAAAGAAATCACACCTTTTGGTCTGCAAAACCAAGAAAAAGACCTTGTAAGATATTTTGAAAAAACACAACACAAAACATGTGGCCCTTTCTAAGAAACTACTTTAAAATGATTGAAGGCCACACATTTGCATCACTGTCTGTTTCTTTATAGTTATATATGTATGTTTCATATGATACATTGCCAACTATCTGAAATTTTAGATTGATTTATTTGTATTTCTCTAAATACTAATTCAAAGCTTTCTATATTATCTTCTTTTGACTTTTAGAGACTTAACTCTGAAAATCAAAACAAAAGTATTTGTCTTCCATGATAAACACACACACACACACACACACACATATACAATAAACATATTTAATATGTTTAAGTTAGTGACTTACTATGTGGTTACATAGAGAGGAGAGGGCAGTAACAATTTCATTTTGAAATTGTGATAAAGCAATAGATACTCCCTATAATGAGTTAAACATTTGATAAGAAATGAAGGTTTCCTCTTTTCCGTCTGGAAACATGGAGGGCAGTCAAGAGAAGAAAAAAGAAGGTTCCTGCTGCAGCAGAAACTAAGAAAAAGGCTCCTGCTGCCACAGAAGCCACCAAGAATAAGGTTCCTGCTATGCCAGAAACCCTTGAGAAAAAGCAAACGAATTTTGCAGAGTTGAAGATCAAGTGCCTAAGAAAGAAGTTTGCTCAAAAGATGCTTCGAAAGGCAAGGAGGAAGTTTATCTATGAAAACGCTAAGCACTATCATAAGGAATATAGACAGATGTACAGAACTGAGATTCGCATGGCCAGGATGGCAAGAAAAGCTGGCAACTTCTATGTACCTGCAGAACCCAAATTGGCATTTGTCATCAGGATCAGAGCTATCAATGGAGTGAGCCCAAAGGTTCGAAAGCTGTTGCAGCTTCTTAGTCTTCACCATATCCTCAATGGCACCTTTGTTCAACTCAACAAGACCCCAAATAACATGCTGAGAATTGCGGAACCATCTATTGTGTAGGGGTACCCGAACCTAAAGTCAGTAACTGGACCGATCTACAAATGTGGTTATGGCAAAATCAATCAGAAGCAAATCGCTTTGACAGAGAACTTTTTGATTGCTCCATCTCATGGTAAATTTGGCATCATCTGCTTGGAAAATCTGACTTGTGAAATCTACACTGTTGGAAAATACTTCAAAGAAGCAAATGACTTCCTGTGGTCCTTCAAATTATCTTCTCCACAAGGTGGAATGGAGAAAAAGACCACCCATTTTGTAGAAGGTGGAGATTCTGGCAACAGGGAAGACCAGATCAACAGACTTATTAGAAGGATGAACTAAGGTATCCACCATGATTATTTGTGTAATCTGGCCAGTAAATAAACAGCAGCTGTTTTCAGACTAAAAAAGAAAAAAAAAGAAATTAAGGTTTAAGTATATTATTTAAAATTAGAAAGGCAAAGAATTTTCTTAGCTCTAACATGAAAAGAATCATTCTGATTTTTATGACTAGGAGAAAGCTAGAAAAATAAAAATATAAAACATCCATGACATTTTGGGGTTCTGTCAGAGAGTGAAGGTAGCAAAGCCAGCTGCCACCTCAAAGTCTGGAAAACAAATGACTGAGAGTTTTAGCCAAAATGAGCTTTCTAGGAGTGGAAGGTACTGGAAACATGAACAGGAAAGAACAGTTCAAATGGGAATTTTAATAATTTGTTGAAAGTGGAGTAATGTGACATTGAAAAATTTCTGAAATCACAATCTAAGAGAAGTCCCACTCTTTCACAAACTTTCACTTCCAGGAACTCTGCCATTTTTTTTCTTTAATACTGAAACATTATTTTGGTTAGGTTGCCCATATGACCCACAAGAGCCAACGACTCATAAATTCCTGTCCCAGGCTGAGGCCGCTGAACTGAATCATAGAGAAACGTTAAAGCTCAGTGCTCCTGGCTGAAGGATGAGGCAAGTCAAATTTCCTTCTATCATTGAATGCTTGGAGTTCAAGGCAAGCCAAGTTTCCCTTCTTAATTTTAGTCCTTTCATGGCTTTTCCAAATAAATATTTTTCGTCCACAGCAGTCGCTCTATGTCAGGCATGCTCTGAGAGGTGGGGAGACCATCCAGGTTTCAGTCGTGCAAAGAAATCCTCTGCTTCCTGACGGGTGAACAGCCAAGGAAGATCCCTGGTTGGATCTAGCTTTGGAGAGGTAAAGAAAGCTTTGTGGTATTTTTTTCTTCTGTAGTGGCTTATTTCACTTAGCATAAAGTCTTCTATGTTCACCCATGTTGTCACATGTTGCATGATTTCATTCTTTTTAAGGCTGAACAATATTGCATGATTCCACATCTATGTTATATCTTATATAATCAAAGCCACAGAGAAAAAGAGTAGAAAATAGTGTCAGAGGATGAAGGGAAAGGGGAAATAAGGAAGAGCAAATAACGAGTATAAAACTGTAGTTATAGAAATTATATAGAAAATGGACAAACCCGAGAGATTCCTTTATAGTCCCATGCCTATATATAATGACTATATTTTCTATTTAAAAACCTGTTAAAGGGTAAATGTCATGTTAAGTGTTTTTACTACAATAAACAAATATAAAACCCAAACAAAATCAGAAAAATAATCACCAGATACTATATACCAACATCATTGTTCGTGATGATCATTGTTCGTACTACAAACCAAGATCAATGTTCAGAAAGATCTGTCCCTTTGGAGAAAAGACATTACCAGAGCCTTATCCAATCTGGAAGAAGACATTCTTCTGACTCTTGACCCTCCCCCCCAGCTTTTCTGTCTCATATGAGGAAATGGGAACTAAAAAGCACTTATAAACATTTTAACTCAGGCCCATTAAAGATTGAAAATTAATCATAAGGAGCTGGCAGGTGCCATGGTGGTTAATGTGCTGGACTCTGACATGACCAACTGTGGTTTGAGTCCTGGACTTGGCAGCTTAGTTTCTCTCTTTCTCTCTCTCGGGTCAAATTAATAATAATAATAAATAAATAAAATTAAATAAATATTTTTTAAAAAGTTGCCCACCTTCCTCATGGTGCCCAGCCCAGCCTTTTGATGGGGCAAGTAGGAGGGTTGCTGCAAAGAGATCGTGGTAGTCCTAGACCCACCTGGATAGCCCCCAGGGCAGAAATCAGTGTTCTAACTTCTACTTCCCCAATCCCACTGCTCCTTCCAACACTAACAGTCAAGTTCTCCTCTTCCCTCTGCTCACTTCTGTCAATCTATTCTTTTTTCTGAAAAAGAAGAACTTTTATTGGCCAGATTGAACTTGTAAGGTCATTGGGAAGCTCCCTGGGCTGTGGCCAATTTCTTCTGAGCTGGTAGGGTTCTGGCAGATAAAATTTTTTGGAAACCATTGGTCTTTTTTTTTTTTACTGAGATTTTTGCTAGAGGGTGTGTATGCTCACCAAAGAGAGTCAGAGAGACAGAAAGCAAGAAATCACTGCCCACCCCCTCCCGAGGAGATGGCCATGTCACAATCCCTTCTCCTCCATTCTCCCCTGGGGATTTGGGGCACACACACACACACACACACACACACACACACACGTGCCTAGCACGCAGGCTTTTTTTGTTTGTTTTTACTTTTTAAAATTTTATTTTATTATTATTATTATTTATACATTGGATCATTATACATCATTTGACTTGCAAAGAGAACCCAAAATGAAATGCACCTCAGACCAGTCCAGTTGAGAATACTATGCACGTTATTATCAACAGGTAATAGACCATTGCTGTGTCCCACAAATGTCTTGCCTCTCTATTTTTCCCCCTAATTTCCTTCCTTATACTCCCCCTCTCCCACCCTCCTTCCACACCATCTCTAGTATCCATAACTGTTTTCAATGCTTTTATATCCTCCAATCGTCCAGTCTCTATCATACAGTGTGGACAGTCGTTATATATTAAGTGGAGACATACACTGTCTTTCTTTCACAGTCTGGCTTTCTTTACTCAGCAATAAATTTTTCATATTCTACCACTTTCTATCGAATGGTGCTTGGCATGAGTTTTAAGCCACCAGGTCCAGGATTTGAACTGCAGTCAACTACATGGAAGTCCAGTGACGTAGCCATTACTCCATCTGCTGGTCTCGTGACTGGTCTTTCTAAGATTGGCAGGTCACTATCTGCCCGACTGACCCAGGCACTCTGAAAGAGGGACTCCTCCTCAGCCTTCATCAAGCCCAGAGCCGGAAGAAGGCCTGTAACCAAACCTGACCTGGGCAGGGAGGGCAAAGGCCTGGACGTCGAAGGTGAGCCTAGCACCCTTCAGCCCTCATCCCCACCCACTCTCACCAGGTGATGCTGTATTCCTGGGGAACGAGGCTCAGTGCGGGGAGTACCTGCTGACCCAGAATGGCCTCATCTATGTAGGCACAGCTGACTGCATTCAGGCAGAGTCCTGGGACTTTGGTCAGGTACAGAGGGCCTCTTGGGGAGGAGCGGGAGTATCTATCCCATGACCTTCAATGTTCAGGCTGGACAGAGCCAGCAGGTCTAAAAGCCCCTGGTCTTGAGGTCATTTCCTTAACCCATCTCATCCCCATGGTGCTGCCCTTTCCTCTGGGCCATGTCAAACCATTCTCCACCGCTATTAGAGTGGTTGTCCTAAAAACTGTGGCAAGTTATGCCTCTGTTAAAGCCCCACCATCTGCAAGATGAGACCAGATCCCCAGGCCTGACACAAAATCCCTTCCCACCAGGCCACTGCTGTCCTTTCCCCACAAGCTACCCCATACTCTAGCTCCTTGGAGCACACAGGCCAAATAATCCCTCTGCCTGGAAGAGTTTCCCTCCTTTATTCTCTGAAAACTCCTACCCACATCCTTAAACCTTCTGAAAGCTTTCCTCAGTCCCTAAATACAGAGGAAGTCTCTTCACTGTGCCCTCGGCTCCGTGGTGGCTCTCTATCAGAGGCCCGGCCACTTGCTGTGGTCTATGATCCAAGGGGCCACGTGTCCACCTCCAGCCCTTCACTGTGGGCTTCTAGGAGCAGTAGCTGCCTGGGTCTCTTCCACAGCCAGGTCAGTGCCGGGAGGAGCAGTAGTTGTTCACTTACCGTAAATGGAAATAAAGAAATGAAACCACACATCGCTGGTCCTTGAGAGCTCACACCCTCTCAGGAGCATCACAGTAGAACAGGCCAAGGACTGGATGCCTGGGCACAAGGACCAAGGGGCTCAGTGGGTGGGAGGGACAAACCTGCACTCCCGGGGGCAGGGGACAAGAAGGCAAGTTAATGGGGCTATCTTGTGGGATGAGTTCCTGACCGCAAACCCTTCATGTCAGCCCTGCATGGTCCTTACAGTTTGAGAGGGATGTCGTGGACCTCAGTCTGCGCCTGCTGAGCCTAGACAAGCAGGTGGAGAAGTGGAGCCAGCCCGCACATGTGGCCCGAGTGTTGGGCGCCTTGGTGAGTGAGAGGTGGGGGAGTCGGCATGCAGGTTGGATGAGACAAGAGTCCCCTGACAGTCCTGCCCACCTCTGTGGCCCTGGAAATCCTCAAATCACAAAGGATCCCTTCCTCCCAGGGTGTCACAGACAGTTCCTAGAGAGGGGCTGAGTGAGGAGGGGAGAAGGACAGGAAGTTCTGCAGGGGTGAGAAAATCCAAGACAGGAGTCATCTCTCAGGACAAAAATCAGCTTAGGACCAAGCTGGCCTGGGTTCCCTCAGAGCCCTCCTGCCCCACGTTCTCAGGTCCCACTTCCTCCCCAATCCCAGCCTGGAGGTTTAGGTCCCTCGGAGGGAGAGGAGAGGGTCCATGTAACTCAGTGCTCACCACTACCGTGATCAAAGGAACCTGGGTTTATTTCTATTGTAAGTTATCCTTAAGACTATGCAGACCCCAAAGGTAGCCTGGTGTGTTCCCTTGTCCCTAAAAGTCCCTTCAGAGGAGCGATATGCTCCTCATTTCCTCTTGTGCCTCTGAGGTCCCCTTTGTAGTGAGGGTCACAGCCAACCTGAGAGTAGGAAGAAGGTTGGGACACGTGGCCTCTGAGATCCCAGTGCAACCTCGAAGGAGTCTGGGTGGGGAAACGATGGGCCAGGGAAGCCAGCTCCCTAAGCAGGGCAGCTCTCATGATGCTCCTAGTGGCTCAAGCTGGAGATCTGAGAGGAAGGAGGCGGCCTGGGCCCCAGCCCTAGAGTTCTAGCGTAGGGGGCCTAGGATAGAGCCCAGGAGCAAGCAGATTCAACACACACCAGGTGCTGTGAAGTAGGTGGTCTCTTCGCCATGTCTGGATAATGGCAAGGAGCCTTCCTGCCCAACCCCTGGAAGCTGTCTTACCTGAGGGACTCACACTGACATCTCGCCTTTCTCCAAACAGCTGCACGCTCTCAAGGAGAAGAACGTCCTGTCTGCCCCACAGACACAGGCCACCCAGGAAGGGGCCTTGCTGAACAAGCGCCGGGGCAGCGCACCCATCCTTCGGCAGTGGCTCACTGGCCATGGGCGGCCCGTGTATGATAGTCAGGCCTGGGTGTTGGCTGCTGTTGCTTGCACAGGTACAGAGCAGGCGATGCACAGGCAGTCAGTCATCCTGGCTATTTGTGGGAGTGCCCTGCCTCTGGGATTGTCCCTTGGTGATGTCCCCAACTGGGAGGGACATCCCCCAAAGTGGGTGCGGCCAAGGATTGAGTAATTACTTAGAAGCTGCAGCCAATCTCGGCTGCTACTCCACAGCGTTTCCCCTCCTCTATCCCACCCACAACTGGTTCACACACATCACCTGGCCAGGAGCGAGCCACTTGTCCCTAAGCAGCTCCTCCCCACCACCTTCTGCTTTCCCCTTCAGCACTGTGGACCCGTTTGCCCACACTCGCTTTCTCCCTGAAACCTTCCCTCGCCTGCCCTAGCAGAGCAAGCCCGAGTGCTGCTGTGTATCCTGCAGCCCTCCCCTGCTCTGCACTCTGCTGCTGTGGCTTGTTGCGCCTCGTTATCAGCCTTGTACATCCCATTCTTTGGCATCAGTTCTAACTTCCTGGTGTCTGAACCCTTCCTCCATCCACTGCATCACGAGCATTTAAGACAGAGCCTGGGGGACCAGCAGATGGCATAATGTTTACATCACTGGACTCCCATGTAGTTGACTTCAAGTCCCACGCTCGACAGCTTAAAACTCTTGCTGATGTGTGTGCATGTGTGCCCAAAGTCCCAAGAGGAAAATAGAGGAGAAGGGATAGTGGCATGGCCATCACTGCTGGAGGGTGATTTCTTGCTTTCTGTCTCTCTGTCTCTCCAGTGAGCACACACACACTATAGTAAAAATCTCTCTCAAAAACAAAACAAAACAAACAAACAAACAAACACACAGAGCATGCCCAGAGGAGACACCAGAAATTCTAGCCTTCCACGCTCCCCTCAGCCCCAGCCTCTCTGGTGCCCTCTGACACTGCCTCTCTTTCGTGCAGTCCTGCGATGCCTGGGCATCCCTGCGCGGGTCGTCACCACATTCACCTCGGCCCAAGGAACTGGTGGGGACTTGCTTGTAGATGAGTACTACAATGAGGAGGGGCTTCAGAATGGAGAAGGTCAGAGAGGCAGAATCTGGTAAGAACTGTCTGAAGGTGATGGGGTTCCAGACCATAAAGAGCTCTAAACCTGCATGGTATGACTCCATGGGAACCCCAAGTGGCCCTTGGGGCTGAGAGTGGCCCTTTGAGGCTCTGGGAGGCAGGTGTTGATGGTCAGTTTGGATGTGAATGCATCTTCCTGGGCATGTTACAACCACTTTTACACAGTCTTCCCATCCCCCTGCTATCAAGGACTCTGCCAGGCCGCATTCTAGAACTTCAGCCCTCCTTCCCCCCCCCCCAACTTTAATTCTTTCCTTTGCTATATTCAGGATCTTCCAGACTTCCACAGAGTGCTGGATGAGGCGGCCTGCTTTGCCCCAGGGTTATGATGGATGGCAGATTCTATACCCAAGAGCACCCAATGGAGGTAGAGGTAAAGCCCAGTGGTAGGCCCAGGACTACTCAGGTCCAGAGGGAGCTGTAAGAGCTGAAGAAGTCCCTTGGAGAGGAAACAGGAACAGCAGGCAGTCCAAAGGAGGTCTACATTCTTTAAAACAGGAGAACTAGAAGGAATGATAGTGGCCAACAGAATACTGACCAGATGCCACTGGGCTCAGAGAAATAAAGGTGTTGACCTTTCCAGCTGCGAGGCTGTAGAGAGACTGGGCCACAGGCAAGGGAGTCAAGTCTCTATGAAGGACAGAGGGCCTTACGATGGCTGGTGGATATGGTAGGTCAGGGGAACACAGGGCGGGACTGCTCAGATTCTGGCTACAGACAAAGAGGGTATCAGGGTAGGCTCAAGCCCAGAGAAGGAAACCTCAATAGCCATAAAAGGATGACTCTTGGGGTGGCCCCATGCTCTAGTGGTTAGGAGAGTTGGTTCTTACATGGCCGACCTTATGTCATTCAGACCCAGTCCTAGTAATTAAAAAAACACACCAGGTATATGTGCATGCATGCCCCAAATCCCAGCAGGTGGAGAAATGGAGGAGGAGGGAGTATGACGTGACCACACCCCATCAGGGAGTGCTTTCTCCCCTTTCCTCTCTCTGTCTCTTGGGTGAGCATATGTACCTTCTGGGGGAAAAAAAAAAAAAAAGACTTTTCCTCACCTAGGAATAGAAGTACCACAGAGCCTGGCACATAGTAAGTGCTTAATAAATGGGACTTGGTTCTGTCATACCTGTAGTAAAGCCAGCTTGCGAATTCGTGTGCATGAAGTGTGTAGTTTCTGAGAGGGCTCCTGCCACAGGCCATGAACAGGCAGTATTATTATCACTAAACGCTTGTTTCATCTCTGTGATACCCTCTCAGAAACCCCGCCTAGGGCTTAGCTCTGACCTTGATCCTGGGGGAAGGAGAATAGGGTGGAGGATGGAGACAGGTTATGAAAGGAGCAGAGTTCTGGGTGTGGCTCCCTTTCTCATCGACCTTTCTGTCTCTCAGTCCTGGAGTCCTGTGACCTGGTCCCGGTCAGAGCAGTCAAAGAGGGAAGACTGGGGCTGACGCCCGCAGTGTTGGACATTTTTGCCGCAGTAAATGCCTCATGTGTGGTCTGGAAGTGCTGTGAGGATGGGACGCTGGAGCTCACTGACTCCAACACAAAGTATGTTGGTAACAACATCAGCACCAAGGGTGTGGGCAGTGACCGCTGTGAGGACATCACTCAGAACTACAAGTATCCTGAAGGTACTGGCCAGGGAAGGGCCTTGGGCTTCTCAGCACCTGAAACAGCAAGCAGAAAGGAAAGGCCAGATGGATGCAGGCCAGGAGTCCCAGCCCTTTCCCTGTTATAAAAACAGCCCTTCTCGACCGTTTCACACCATAGACATCCAGACCCAGATGTCTCTCGGTTGTGGGGGACTGTGAAGAGGCATAGCAGCGTTCCTGACCTCTATCTGTGAGATGCTTGCACCCCACCACCACCACGAACACCACCAGTTGTGACACCCAAAAATGTCTTCAGGCATTTCCAAAATTGCCCTCGTTGAGAACTGCTGCTATAAAACACTTGATACCAAGTCCAGTTGCCAGAGGCTTTTCATGTTGTCCGTCCCTGCAACATCCCCTGATTGTTGCTCCATATTAGTTAAGGATCTACCTATTTTGTCCAAACAAGAAGGCATGCACCACCTGAGTCTTCCTCCGTCCTTACTCCACATTGTTCTTAGATCTGTCCCCTGATCGCTTTTCCCATTCCACAACTGGGTGTTCGAGGTGGTGGTCGGGTGCAGGCATCCCACAGGTAGAGGCTTGGAGAGCTGCTATTATATCCAGTGATTACAGCCCCCTGCAGCCAAGAGACATCTGGCCCCACATATCCATAGCCATTGAAAGGATTGAGAAACCCTGCTGTCATTTTTATGTTTTTCCTATAAAGCGCATGCTCCCATCAGAGAATAACAGAGACAGTGAGAGGGAAAGTGAGAAATCACCCTCCAGGGGGATGAGCACACCACAATCCCTTCTCCTTCAGTCTCCTCCTGGGATTTTGGGCATGTATGTATATGTGCTTGGTGTGATTTTCAAGCCACCAGGTGCAGGGCTTGTACCACAGTCAGCCATGTAGGAGTCCAGTGCCTTAACCACCATGCCATCTGCTGGTCCCAAGAAACCCTGTTTTTATCATAGTTAATCCAGGCCTAGCGTCTCTTATTCACAGTTGCAATGGCCTTCTAACTGGACCTTTGCTCCATGCTCTCCATCATTGTTCCTTTCTACCTTTCAGTTTCCAGAAGGAGCTGAGACACAGATTTCATTATGTTACTCCTCTGCTCCAGAATATTCCATTGCTCCAGGAATATGAAAGGGACTTCCAAAAGTTCATGGAAAATAGAATTAAAGTACAAGTTTATTTTGGTACAAAAAAAAAAAATCTGAAATCCATAGTTTTTTCATAGTATGTACCTTCCACGAACTTTTTGAAGACCCCCCCCCTTATAAAGCCGAATAGGACGATTTAATTCCTTCCCAAACTGTCTTCAGATCCTGTGTTGACTTCCTCCAAAGCTTGCTCCCTAATCACTCAAAGACAAATTCACAGCACTTGAAGAACATGGTCTGTGAATGACTTGCAAGAGACACCTTGTCCTGTGGTGGATCTGCCAAACTCAGACATTTTGTTTAAAAATGGTCTTAGAGGGCCAGCAGGTGGCATGGTGGTTAAGGCGCTGGACATGGCCGACCATGGTTCTAGTCCCAGACCTGGTGGCTTGCTTTCTTACTTTCTTTCTCTCTGTGTTTCTTTCTCTGGTCTTAAAATAAATGAATGAATGAATAAAATTAAATAAGTGATTCTTTTTTACAAATGTCCTCAGGGATTTACAAAGTTCTTGTGATTTTTAGCACTTGAGCAGAAGTGGATAAACAGCTTTTAATCCTGGGCTTCTATAAGAATGATCTATTCCCGGTGGATCAAAGGCCTGCTTTGTTTCTTTCATTCTCCAGGATCTCATCAAGAAAAAGAGGTGCTGGAGAGGGTCTGGAAAGAGAGAATGGAACATGGAAAAGACAATGGCATTCATCCTCCCAGTCTTGAGATGGCTGATCCTCTGTACCTGTTCTTGGAAGCACCCAGCTCTCTACCCCTGAGAGGAGATGCCCAGCTCTCAGTGACCCTGGTTAACCCCAGCAACCAGGAGAAGGCAGTCCAGCTGGCAATTGGGGTCCAAGCTGTGTCCTACGATGGCGTCCTTGCTGCTGAACTCTGGAGGGAGAAGTTGCCTCTCACACTCAGTGCCAACCTCGGTAACCCTCTCCATGGCCCTGCAAGACAGACATCCTGCATACACAGCTCCTGCCCTGGCAGATCTCTCCAGAGATAGAGTTTATCCCCTGGTGCTCACATGCACTCTTCTTTTTTCTCGTTTTCCCTCTATTGCCCCATCCCATCAGGACTTTTGGTGCATGCAACATACCCCATGTTTTCCCAAGACCAGGATTTAAACTGCTATCAGCCATGTGGAATCTGGCTAGCAGCAGAATCCCTGCACTACAGGGCTGACCCCAGGCACTTCATTTAAAAAAACCCTCCATATGTTTTCTAGAGTTTTTATAGACATGAGAGGAGTGAGTGGGGGAATGACATGAGAACTAGATAGGACCCAGATCAACAAGAGTCATGTTTACCGTGTTAGGGCATTTGAGTTCTGTGCTCTGGGCTCATAGGAGCTGGTGGAATATTTTAACTAGGAGAATCAATGTGAGCAGAAATTCTTTTTTTCCTATATCTTTTCCTTTTTATTTTAAATTTATTTATTTACATTCATTCACTGTACATCATTACAGTTTATAAAATGAGATTTTCCATCCAGAATATACTGCATATTGGCTCAATCAAAGATATTGCCATACATGTTGTCAACAAATAATTTTCCATTTTTTGTGTCTTATATATTTTGCTCCCCCCCTTTATTCTCTATCTCTCACCTCTGCCATTTCCCACCCTTAGATACACGATCTCTGGTATCCAGAGTTGCTTTTCATCCCTCCCCCTTTTTTTCACATTTGATTGATTCACTAAAGACCTTAATTAGTCTAAATACTTGCAATTTCAAGCACAGCTGATATATACATATCCAGGAACACATGTCTAACTTTAGGCATGAACTTCAGTGAGTAGAATAAACATACTATAAAGCACACCTATCTGGAGCTATATAGCTTACTGCAGTCATTAAATAGCTATTTTTTAAATGCATTTTTTGATTTCAAGAAAAACAGTTTTAGTTTTAATCGATCAAAATCAAGAAATGTTAAGAGAAGTTTGCTTAAAACTTAAAGCCAGGGAAAAGGTTAGGATTCTATTCAAACAGTAGGTATAGATGAACTTATCAACAGTTCAAGAGAAGACAAAAATCCTTAAATCTGGACAACAAAGCATAGAAGAAAAACAGTAATGTTTTAGTCAAAAGTTGTAAAACTTCTGTTTCACCAGTTCAAACTCCTGAAATTAATCTCTCTGTATTGAATTTGCAGTGTTACTGTGGTCTGATCTTTCCATTTAAATTCTGGAAGTTAACATTCAAAGTTATTGTTGATCTTTCCAGACTTGTCCCTACCATTAAGTTGGCCATTCTCTTGGCTGCTTTTTGTGTTCTTATTTCTGTATGTCTTACTTTGGTTTTCCTGGTATAGCACTTTCTTCAGCACTTCTTGGAGGGCTGGTCTGGTTTTGGTAAATTCTTTAAGGTTTTTGTTTATCTGAGAATGTTTTTGTCTTTTCTTCCCATATGAAGGATAATCTTGCGGGGTATAGTATTCTTGGTTGAAATTGTTTTTCACTTGGGGCCAGCAGGTGGCGTGGTGGCTAAGTAGTTGGAATTCCCATATGACTAACTGTGGTTTGAGTCCTGGACCTAGTGACTCTCTCTGGCAAAACTCATGTGAAAATAAATAAATGAATAAAATAATTATTTTTAAAAAAGAAATTGTTTTTCACTCAACACTTTGAATATATTGTCCCAGGATATTTCCCAATGCTTGCATTATTTCTAATGAGAGGTTCAATGTAAGCTTGATGGGATATCCTTTGAAAGTAACTTGATGTCTCTCTTGCCAATTTTAGTATCTTGTCTCTGTCTGTGGTTTTGGTCAATCTGGCTATGATGTTCTCGGAGAAGAACTTTTTGGGTTGATTCTATTAGGGGTCCTTTGTATTTCTTGGGTCTGGATATTTGAATGTTTCCCTAGGTTTGTAAAGTTTTCTTCCAGTATTTCATGGAATAGATTATCAATGCCCATATTAGTTTCTTCACTTTCTGGGTTACCAATTACCCGGATGTTTGGGCATTTAACGGTATCTAGTATTGGGACCAGCAGGTGGTATGGTGGTTAAGGGTGCTGGAGTCCCACATGGCTGACTGCAGTTTGAGTCCCAGACCCAGCTGGTGGCTTGCTTTCTCGCTTTCTCTCTCTCTGTTCTTCTCTGGTCAAATTAACATAAATAAATAAAGATAAATAAAACAATTCCCTAAAAAATTTTTTTAAAAATAAAGATGTCCTAGGTCCTGAAATGGGCTCCTCAGAAGTCAAATGTATATGGCTGGTGATTGGCTTATCCTGGCTAAATCTGGGGGACAGAGGGGTGCAGTCTGGGCAGAAAACAGTCAAATGTCCAGAAATTCCTTTTTAAAAGAAATAATTTTTTGCAGACAGGAATGGATAGGGTCATATTAGAGTTTATTTGATCCCCCAAAAAAGTGAAAATCCATGCATTTTTTTCCACATCTAGTATTACTCGTATATTATTCTCATTTTGGGAGGTTATTTTCCCAGTCTTTTTGGTGAATTTTTCTAAGCCAAAGGTTCTATCTTCTACATCTGAGACTCGATCTTCTGCATGTTCTAATCTGCTTTTAATGCTTTCAAGGGAGGTTTTGATTTCCTGTATTACAGCCTTCATCTCTAACAATTCTGTTTGATTCTTTTTTATGGTGTATATTTCCTCTTTCAGATCGTGCAAGAACTTCCTTACCTCCTGGAACTTGTTGTCCCTTTTCTCCTGCATCTTCCTGAGTTTGTTGTCTCTTCCTTTGTATCTCTATGTCATTATGAATATTCTAAATTCCTTATCTGACATTGCCAGGAGTTCCCTTGTATTGTCTGTGGAGGATGAGGAGTTATTCTTTTCACTTGGGGGAGAGATGTTTTCTTGGCTTCTCATATTTCTTGTGCCTCTGTGGTGGTTTCTGTTCATCTGATGGATTATATGGTTTTTCATAAGGTTTGGAGTTAAATCTGAGCGTTCAGAGGCATGCAGGAGGAGGTGGTTTCCAAACTCTGAGCAGTACTTTTTTTTCCCTTTGTGCAGCAGATTCCATGGAATATGAGGATTACTCTGACCCTAAAAGTATTCAGGTATTTGGCTACTATGCACCTAGACCTGTCTAGAAACTCAGTGTATGGATGTTCAACAGAAAAGTGAGAAAGTTAAAGGAAAAAAGAAAAGAAAACATAGGGGGAAAAAAGACAAAAACAATATAAAGAAAATTTAAAAACTTTAAAGCAAAAATTAAAAACTACATGGGGGGGGCAGGAAAGAATTAGCAAGATCAAAAAGCATCAGATAGCTAAGAAGTTTAAAAATTAAAGAGAAAAAAAGTAGAGTGAGTTGGAGAGAGACAGAGAGGATAAACAGGGTGCTATACCTGACTAGATCTGGGGGGCAGGAGGGTGAAGTCTGGACAGAAAACCTTCAGATGTCCTAGGCCCTGAAATGGGCCCCTCAGAAGTCAAATGTATATGGCTGGTGATTGGCTTGTCCTGGCTAAATCTGGGGGACAGAGGGGTGAAGTCTGGGCAGAAAACAGTCAAATGTCCAGAAATTCCTTTTTAAAAGAAATAATTTTTTTTTAGCTTTTTTTGGGGGTAGGGGAGGTTTTCGCTGTAGGGCGCGTGCGCTCGCCAGACAGAGAGAGACATAGAGACAGAAAGCGAGAAATCACCCCCGAGGGGGGATGGTCACACCGCAGTCCCTTCTCCATTCTCCTCTCAGGATCCTGGGCACGCATGCACACGCACCCGGCCTGAGTTTTAAGCCACCGGGTCTGGGACGCGAACCGTGGTCGACTACGTGGGAGTCCAGCAACATAGCCGTTATGCTAACTGCTGGTTCCCAAGAAATAATTTTTTGCAGACAGGAATGGATAGGGTCATATTAGAGTTTATTTGGTCCCCCAAAAAGTGAAAACCCATGCATTTTTTCCACAACATGCATTTTATATGCACTTTTCCAAAGAATTATTTTATTTCACTTTATTCATCCATTTATTTATTTATTTTAATGTTACCAGAGAGGGATAGAGTGAGAGAGAGAGAAAGTGAGAAAGCGAGCCGCCATGTATAGGACTTGAACCACAGTCAGCCATGTGGGAGCCCAGCGCCCTTAACCACCACTCCACCTGCTGGCCCTTTACATACACTTTTTAAGTCCCCTTGTATTCAGCAACAGCTTTTTTTTTTTTTAATTTTAGAATTATTTAACTCATTTACTTATTTAAATTTGACCAGAGAGGGAGAGAGAGAGAGAGAGAGAAAGAGAAAGAGAGACAGGGGAAGTGAGAAAGCAAGTTGCCAGGTCTGGAACTCTAACTGTGGTTGGCCGTGTGGGAGTCCGGCATCCTTAACCATACCACCTGCCCGCTCCACATTCAGCAGCTTCTATGAGGCAGGTTCTGAGAAGAGCACTTCATTTGTAGTATATCATTTAATACAAATCATCCCACTAGACAGGCATTATTATTAGATGAGGCACTGAGGCTAGAGGGTTTAATTTGTTCTAATTCACAGTGTCCTTTCTACAACCCCATCAAAGTGATGAGGGTGAGGTCTTGAGTACGTTCAAAGTTTACAATTGCTATGGCATCTTTCTGGTCTCAGTGAGACCCGGAGTCCTTTGTATACGTATCGATGGCTTGTTTCTGGGATACACACACTCAGTCCTTGGCACTAATCTCACTGGTCGTGTTTTTCAGTTAAGAGAATAACCACCAGCCTGTCCTTCTCCTGTTTTGAGCAAAACCCACCAGAGAACAGCTTTCTCAGACTCACCGCCATGGCAGTGCACACCGAGTCCAGGCTCAGCTGCTTCGCTCAGGAAGACATTGCCATCTGTAGACCACACCTTGCCATTGAGGTAGGCACCAGTCCTTCTCTGAATTGCTCTCACCTGTTACCAGTCACGTCCCCATTTCAGAAGGAACACAAGCTCCTCCAGCTTCAGAGCAGAGGACCAATGCTGCAGGATTGCCAGAAAATGCTAGGTCTCCAAGCTATTCCTCTCGTAAGAGATGGTTTCTTGCATGTACTATTAGAATTTACATTTTCCAACCATTCAGTTGATTAGTTAAAGGCTTCTAAAATAGGGCCTTCCCAGTTGCTGCCTCCATGCTGACAGGAATAACAACAGACTATGTTTAGTTAACACTTTGTACATGTGCCAAGGTATTTCACTGCCTTCATTTCTTTTCATACAAAAGCCTGTGAGGTGAAACTGTTCCCATTATTCAAATGAGGAAACTGAGTTCTAGAGAGCAATATGCCCAAGATAGGTACGCTTTTAGTGCAGAGGTAGAAGGCCACTAAAGGCAGGAGACTGAATAAAGAGGTTCAAAGGAAGGGGACCTGAGGGCTGTGCTGAGCATGGGAAGTCCCTGATGTGGCTGGAATGTTATCTAGTTAAAGGAAGAAGAGGCAAGGCTGGGGAGATGGGTTGGGCCAGAACATTAAGTACCCTGAACACAACCAAACCTGAATTCCCAACAATGGGAAACTCTTGGCTTCTAAACCTTGGTTAGAAGAGTAGATTCACCTGAGATTGTCAGTGATGAATCAAGGCTGAGTATAAATGCAGTACGGACAGGTGAGGGTAAAAAAAGCGAATGTGGTTTAGGTCAGGATGGCAGAGAAAAGAACAACTGAGGAGGGCACGTGGCCCACAGAGGAAGAAGGCATGGCTGTGGCTCTGGGGCCTTGGCATCCACTTCAGGTGTTGACTCTTCCTGCAGATGCCAGAGAAAGCAGTGCAGTATCAACCTCTTACGGCCTCCGTGAGCATCCGTAACTCCCTAGATGCCCCCCTGAAGGACTGTGTGATCTCTATCCGAGGAAGGGGGCTGATCTACAGAGAGAGAACTTACAGGTAAGAGACTGCACACAGCCTTTTGCTGTGTCTATGGAGACTAAATACCCCCAGAAGTTGAACTAAAGGATTTGGGCTCCTAGATGGCCTCTCATATCCTGGAACCACCATGTCAACAGGGAACAGGGATAAAGGAGGCTACGTGGGCCCTCCTGGCATCCATCTGACCCTAGTTGCTGCTCTGGTCATGTACAGAGAGCCTGAGAATTGCTAGATAGCTTGTCCTTTCCTTTGCCCCCTCTTCTTTTGGTCTTCATGCCTTTTTTTTTTTCTCTTGTTGATTTGTAGGGTTCCCTGTAAATTCTTGGTACTAGTTCCTTATTGGTTTAAGATGTTGCAAATATCTTCTTTCATTGTGTGCACTGTATTCTTCCTTGGATATACAACTTAAACTTCAAGATGCCTACTCTTACAGTCCCAAGGACCCCAGCAGGTGGTCAGGTCACTGCCTCGCCCTCATGAAACTTGAGTAACTCTTGCCAGTAAGTTGAGGGGAGAGAATGCCAACATGTATTAGATTATTGTGGTCTGTGAGATCCACTATAGCACACAGCTCCTGAAGGAAAACCTATACTATTCCCTCAGTCATCAAAAGGTCTATAGGCTGGTCAGGCAGTGCTGATGGGGCACCAATCACCACCTGCTATCCTCACTGTGCTCAGCAAAAAGTTCCCAAACCACAGCTTTTCCAAACATACTATTACCAAGAATCAAGTCAGATTGAAGTCACAGAGGATAAAAGGAATGACATGGTTTGGACGCCCTTAGGATGTGTCTCTTTTGAATCATGCAATTGCTCAGTGTAGG